TGACTTAGGCTGCTTTCCCAAAGGGCTCCCAAGCCCACGGCAACAATACAGGAACTCATGTGGCCTTTGCTCCTCATGACAGCCTTGTAGGCAGAGCTTTATCACCATCTCCATTTCATAGATAAAGAGAAGGAAACTGAGTCTCGGAGAGAGGGTGTGACTTGGCCACCATTAAGGAGTTTTTTTTTTTTTTTTTTTTTTAGTGGTTCTCTTTTAAAAAAAAAAAAAGACAGAGAGGAAAGAGAGAGAGAGAGAGAGAGAATTTTTTAATATTTATTTTTTAGTTTTCGGTGGACACAACATCTTTGTTGGTATGTGGTGCTGAGGATCGAACTTGGGCCGCACGCATGCCAGGCGAGCGCACTACCGATTGGGGCACATTCCCCGCCCCCCCCCCCTTTTTTTTTTTTAATTGGTAGGAAAGGAACAGGACTTGTCTTTTGCAATCTGGGGACTTGCTACAGGCAGTGAATAATTTCAGCACTGGCTCCAGGTGATATCTTTTACTCCTCGGGTAGAAGAGGTAGGGCTTACCCATCTGGAATTCTCAAATTCCATGGCTGGGTTTGAATTCCAGCCTTGTTACTTTCCATTGGGTATCCTTGGGCCCTTAACCTCTCTGTGCTACCTTGTCCTCATTTGTAAAATAAGAATGACAATAGGACCTAATTTACAGGACCACTATGAGGATTAATGCATTTAAAGTGATTAGCATATGCGTGGCATATAGTAAAAGCTCACTAAATGTTGGTGTTCAGTACTAGTGATAGGTATAGCACTCACCTTAAAAAGCAACCTATCTTCATCTCCTAAAAGGAAATAGTAAGGCTTCTGTTGTTGGACAACCCATAAGCAAAGCCCCAGAATATTAATTTTTCTTTTTTTATTTGTTCTAATTAGTTACACATGACAGTAGAATGCATTTGACACATTGTACACAAGTGGAGCATAACTTCTCATTCCTCTGGCTGTACATGGTGCTGAGTCACACCAGTAGTGTAGTCATACAGGTATATAGGATAATAATGTCTGTCTCATTCCACCGTCCTTCCCATCCCCACTGCCCCACCCTTCCCCTCACTCCCGTCTGCACAATCCAAASTTCCTTCATTCTTCCCCACAATTTCTTTTTCTTTTCTTTTGGTACTGGGGAGGGGATTGAATCCAGGGGCACTTTATCACTGAACTACATCTCCAGCGCACCCCCCTCCTTTTATTTTTTATTTTGAGTCAGGGTCTCACTAAATTGCTGAGGCTGGCCTCAAACTTGTGATTCTCCTGCTTCAGCCTCCTGAGTTACTAGGATTACAGGAAGGTACCACCAGGCCCAGCTCAGAATATTAATTTCTCAAGCAGGTGGAAACTGCTGATATAAATAATAATAGTAATTATTATTGGAGCTAACATTCAACAGTTGCTTACCATATACCAATCATTGTGCTAAGTGACTCATACTTGAAATATCTTTTTTTTTCCTCCAGTTTTGGGGATTGAACCTAGGACTCTATGTATGTTAGGCAAGCGTTCTACCACTGAGCTATACCCCCATTCCCTAGGTTATCACATTTATTATCTCATTTAATCTTCAAAACTCTGGGAAGTAGAAAGAATTATGATTCACATTTAAGGAAACAGAGGCTCAGAGAGGTGAAGTCACCTGCTTAACGTCACACAGCTAGAAAGTGGTAAAACAGTTATTTAAACTCAGGTTTGTCTGACTTCAAAGTTTCCTATGACAATTAAGGTTAGATAATAACTTGCACAATACATGGTTGTCTGCATCAGCTCTATTCCAAACCAGCTGCTGGCTCTGCTACCTCCCTCCATGCTGGGAAGACCAAGGACAATTTATTTATTTATAAATATTTTTTGGTTGTCCGTGGACCTTTATTCTATAATTTATTTATATGCGGTGCTGAGAATTGAACCCAGTGCCTCACACATGCTAGGCAAGCACTCTACCACTGAGTCACAACCCCCCCCCCCCAGGACCATTTATAGAGTGCCTTCTATCTGCCACTTTATTATAGTTCCCTTTAAATCCTTACTGCTACCTTATGACCCTCTATAATTATCCCTCCTAAAAGTATAATAATAAATATGGCTGAAGGACAATTAGGTTTGGTGACAGATCAAAGTCACTGTATCTAAGGTAAGGTAGTACAGTCAAGATTCTTTGAAGCCTGGGATCTCTTCTAAAATACTGGGGATGGGGATTGAACCCAGGGCCTTGCAAATCCCTGGTTCTGGAAGCCTGCATCCTCCCTCTGCCCCCATCCCTGAATTAAACTCAATACATCATGGCCTATTTTTTTTTTCTTTTTGAACAAGGGATTGAACCCAGGGATACTTTAACCACTTAGTCACATCCCCAGCCATATATATATATATATATATATATATATATATATATATATATATATATTTTTTTTTTTTTGATGGACCTTTATTTTATTCATTTTTATGTGGTGCTGAGAATTGAACCCAGTGCCTCACACATGCTAGGCAAGTGCTCTACCGCTGAGCCACAACCCCACCCTCTCTATATATACATTTTTAACAGAGACAGGGTCTTGCTAAGTTGCTTAGGGTCTAGCTAAATTGCTGAGTCTCGTTTTGAACTTGTGATCCTCCTGTCTCAGTCTCAGCCTCCTGAGTTGCTGGGATTATAAGCGTGTGTTACCATGCTCTCTCTCTCTCTCTCTCTCTCTTTTTTTTTTTTGAAATAGTTTCTCTAAATTGCCCAGGCTGGCCTTGAATTTGCAATCCTCCTACCTCAGCCCCTGAGTAGCTGGGATTATAGGTACTTACCACCCAGTAAAGCCAGCTTCTTTTAGGGACTATCAGAAAAGTGTAGAGAACCTTGGAGAACAATTCCACCTTCAAAACCAAAACTAGGGTTTGGTTTAACAATGACCCTCTCTATTGTGGCCCTCAGATGGTGTGCTCTGCCCTCCAACCCCACTCCCACTACCCTCCTTGACTTCATACCCTTCCTCTTGACTTGCCCCTTTTTTCTCACCCTCTCATTCATGAATGGGTGAACCACATCCATCAATTCACCACTGACAGCATCCACTTAGGGAAGTCTCCTTTGACCCCTCCCATTTCCTGACATTCCCTCTCAGAATCAGATTGTACTTTGCCTTCTTGTTCCTTATCACTTTCTAACTGTGTTTGTCCATTCATTTGTTTAGCTACTTTGTTCCTTACCAGAGTCTAAGCTCCCAGAGGGTCTGACTATTTTGCTTACCATTAAAGCTGAGCCATTGGCAGGCTGTTCTATACCTGCTAGGTGCTCAATAATTTTTTATTGAATGAATGAATTCGTGAATGAATAAGTAGCTACCAGGCATTTTAAACACATGACTCAGTAGCGCCACAATTAACTCATTGAATCCTCACAACTGCCTTATCATCCCATTTTAGAGACTAGGTAGGTAAGGCTAAGAGAGCTAGGAAGTGGTGGAGCTAGGATTTGACCCCAAAGTCACTACTGTGTTCTGCAGTTACCTCCTGCACCCAACCGCTGCAGCCAGATTTAAACAGTCATTGACTATCAGACCACGGGTACAATTTGAACCTGGAGGATACCAGCCCAGTCAGCACTGGGACCCTGTTGGCATCACCCACTTGTCGGGTCTCTGCCCTTCTTAAGTCTTAAGCTGCTCCCCCTCCTATTCCCTTCTTGGCCTCTAGGGAGGGAAAAGGACTAGGGAATCACAGCCAAGACAGTCCTGCTGGGAAAACAATCCTGTAGTGAATAGAGCTCTGTTCTGAGAGCGGAGAGACCTGGATTTAAGTTTTGCCATGAGGCTACCCCACTGTCCATATCCTCATTTGGGATTCTGCCTAGGTTGCTGATCAGATGTCATCCCCGACCTCCTGATTCCTAGGATCCCAGAACAGCTTTGTCACTTAGCTTGGGAGTGGCCTATGATTAAGTCTATGGTAACCAGGGACAGGGGCAAATCTGGCACCCTTAAGACCATCCCTGACGAACTAAAGCCATGGGGGGGGGGGGCAAGTCTTTTTCAGGTAACACCTTGCCTGGGAAGGAAAACAGGGATGAAAGCTAAATGATACACAAGTTTGAGTCCTAGGATTGTTTCCAATTCCTTGGGTGAACCTGAGTAAATCTGCTGTCATAGGCTCCATTTTCTCCCCTGCAAGTCGAGGACAATATATGCTGTATAGAGTTGCTCTAGGGAACTAAATGGACATCTTTGCTAACTTATTAATTTGTTATATTGTTATCCGGCTGCAGTCTTTCATAATCAATAAGGCTTGCATGTGCCCACTCAGGCATGAATAATCACCTTCAGGAGGTGAGGAGGATATGCTGAGTTTACTGCGCCTACTTTGCAGAAGGACAAACTGAGACCCAGAGAAGCTCAGGGAGTTGTCTGAGATTGCAGAGCGAGTTGGCGGTTCAACTAGGGACCAGTTCACCTGTCAAAACTAGCTCCCAGTTCCGGGACCCTCTCCCGCCACACACACACACACACTGGGATCCCTTAGGGGCGGGCTCCTAAAGCCAGTGACTCACTTTCCACACCTTACTTTCGGCCCCCTCCAGAGACCCAAAGTGAAGGGATATAACTATTTGCAACTTGAGGGGTGTCCACAGAAAAGTTTACAGGCTTGGCTCCTTCCTATCCCCCAAGATACTGGTTCTTTGGACTCCAATAAGAAGAATTCGTCTTTCAACACACTTTAAGCGAGATTTTACCCTTTCTTTGGTGAGATTTTTCTACTCTGAATTTAGGAGTCGATTTACCTAAATGTCTACCCCCACTTCACTTGGTTTGCCTCCCGCTGTTTACTCCTATTGCGGAAGTTGCTCGGGTGGAGCTCTCGGGACAGTAGCTTTGAGTACGTCTTTTGCGTAGGTATTTAACTGGCATTCTATTAAGGCCAATGGGATGACTGGAAGTCCAGGGCGGGTCAAGCGGAGAACCAATCAGAGCCGTTGGCGGGGTGTGGCTGCGTCCCAGGGCGGGGGATCGCGTAATGGCGGACACGGGCCGGGCGAGCACGGCTGGGGGCGTTGCGCGTTGAGGGGGGTCCGGCTGTGTGGCAGCCCGCTAGGCGGTCGGCGGGAGCAAATCCCGTGTTGAGATAGGGCGGCTGGCCGGCTTTTCCTGTCTCTGAGGGGGACTGCGCGAGGCCAGGTGAGCAACAAGTCCCCTTGGGCGGGCCCCGCTGTGAGGCGCCGGCCGCAGCTGGGCCGCCCCTCCCGAACCGCGCAGAGTCCAGGGGGAATGGGTGTCGCACCTCCTGCCGCCGACTGGCAGAGGCCGGCGAGCAGTCGGCGGCGGGTGGCGTCTTAGTCCACCCTACCCCCTAAGGGAGGGGGTGACCTGGAGTCCCCAGCGGTTTCGTGAAGGGGCCTGCGAGTCCGTGAGGCTGTGAAAGTGTCCCGAGCTGACATGGCTCTGTCCCCAACTCGCTTTGTGATCTTGGGCAAGTCACTTCCTTCTTCAGGCCTTAGTATCCCCATTTGTAAAACGAAGACTGTCGGCAGGAGTACCTGAGTTGGGTCCCAGCTCTTTGGGGAAGTTCTTCCCCAGGATGAGCCTCAGTGTCTGTCTCAGGACCATGCCGCAATTGAGGTGCTCCTTAAGGCTCCTGGCCTGTTAAGTTGGGGAGCGGTGGGTAGGGCATAGTGTATATGCGCGCGCGTGTGCCCCGCACAGAATGGTCCGCAGACTAAGGAGGAGAGTTGGCTATAGGGGCGGTGGGTGCCCTACCCAGACCGGGGTGGGATGGGACGGGGTGGGACGCGGTGGGATTGGGTTCTCTGGGTCCTCCAGCAGCCCTAGATCCTATGAGATGGGGAAGGTTTATACACCTGAATATAGAATCAGAGATGAGGAAAAAGTTCTTGGAGATTCTTGGAGCAAAGATTGGAATTTTGGCCCAGAAGGCAGGAGGAGGAAGAGGAGAAGAACATTTATGGTACTCCTACTGTATGCCAAACCTTGGTTAGGCATATATTGTTGTTTAATTTTTACAACTTCCCTTGAGAGTTTGCACATAAGGAAATTAAGTTTCAGAGAACCCGAGTGACTTGCCCAGGGCCTCTGGTAATGTGTAGTTTGTGTTTCCTCTGGCAATCACTGGGTAAGGGGTAAGTCACTGCCTACTTAAAAGATAATGTTTGCATTGTCACAAGCATAGGGAGAGTTCTGGTCCCAGACATTTAATTTGACTTCTGGCATGGAGAGACAGGCAGGGTCTTGATCTCTGGTTGGTTAATTGTAAATCCATCCCCTTTGTTGAGTATGTGAGTTGGAAAAGTCCAAATTGTAAAATTCCAAATTTTAAAAGTCACTTTGAAGTGTGTCAGAACTTCAGGGGCTCAGTTTGAATTCTGATTGGGTATCCTGCAGAAGAAAGTATACAGACTTAAGTTTTGATTCAGGGTGGTGCCAGCCCAGTGTCTTTTTCTCCTCCCTAAGAAGGCCACGTTTCCTTGCCATTTATTAGGTCAGATTTCATTGGATTCTGTGGGGTGAAAGCTCAACAGCCTAGCCCTGATGAATCTTTTTTTTTTTTTTTTTTGGTGTGGGGGGGGTTTGAATCCAGGGCTTTGTGCCTGCAAGGCAAACACTCTACCAACTGAGCTATATCCCCAGCCTGCCCTGATGAATCTTAATGTTTCTTTCTTCTATTATCTGACTTCTAGATGAGAGAGAAGACTGTGGACTTGGTAGGCAGTGGTTGGGTACTGTAAATTGCAGCTCTTAATTTTTCTAAACATCAGAATTTTGGGTTAATCAAAAGGGTAGGTTCTGCTGTGGGTATTGTTTTGAGATGTCAGTGGTGGAAGAATATTGGAGGAGGAAGTTGCTAAGAAAAGGGCGTTTCTTAGTAGTGGAGCCAATATGTATTTTCTTTGTTTGAAATTCTAAAACCAGAAAAGCAGCAACTTAAGGAGGGAGGAAGGAAAGAACTATGAAACTCTTCTTCCTGTTCAAAGATTTTTAAGAGCTGTTCTTACCTCTATTCACGTTCGAGGCTCTGCTTTCACAGAAAAAGTCCATTGTAATTTGTTGGACATTTATAAATTATCTTCCACAGGGAAATAATTTTAAATCTTAGACTCTGATATAATTTTTTTCGTTTTGTGGTACTGGGGATTGAACCCAGGGCTTGGTGAGTGCTAGGCAAGCACTCTGCCACTGAGCTACATCCCCATACCTCTGATATAAATTTTTGAGAAATCAGAACATTTTTCTGAGAAAGTTATTTATCACTGAAGATTCATTTTCTCAACATAATTAAAATTTTCAATCTTTAGCTCTACTTTTTGGGGGGGTGGGTACTGGGTATTGAACTCAGGGGCACTCAGCCACTGAGTCACATCCCCAGCCCTATTTTTTTGTATTTTATTTAGAGGTAGGGTATCACTGAGTTTCTTAGCACTTCGCTTTTGCTGAGGCTGGCTTTGAACTCGTGATCCTTCTGCCTCAGCCTCCTGGGCTGCTGGGATTACAGGGGTGTACCACCGTGCCCGGCCAATCTTTAGCTCTGTTTTAACTGTGATTTAAATCAGTGGATTTCAACCTAAGAGGAATTGATTTAGATTTCAGAAGATGCAAATATCACCATCACCTGAAAATAGCGTGTGTGTTTGTTTATTTTTTGTGGTGCTGGGGATTGAACCCAGGGCCTTGTACATATGAGGCAGGCACTGTACCAACTGAGCTATATCCCAGACCCATGTGTTTGTTTGTTTGTTTGTTTTTAATATTTTTAGTTGTAGACAGACAAAATACCTTTATTTATTTGTTTATATGTGGTGCTTGCCTCACAAGTACTAGGCAAGCACTCTACCACTCTGAGGTACAACCCCAGCCGACGTGTTTGTTTTTTGACAATTATTTAAAGTCTTTTTATCTGGGTGAGGTGGTACACACCTCTAATCCCAGTACCTTGGGAGGCAGGAGGATTGTGAATTCAAAGCCAGTCTCAGTAGCTTGGTGAGACACTAAGCAACACAGTGAGACCCTGTCTCTAAATAAAATATGAAAAAGAGCTGGTAATGTGGTTAAGTGCCCCTGGGTTCAATCCCTGGTACAAAAAAAGAAAAAAGAAAAATTTTTAATGCTTTCTTTTCCAGGATTGTGTTTAATAGTTGTTAAGACATTAGGTTTGCTGCATGTCAAGATCTATATTCATTCTCAGTATTAGTTATATTTTTTATATAAGATGATTTTGTCTTGGGCTGGGGATGTGGCACAAGCGGTAGCGCGCTTGCCTGGCATGCGTGCTKCCCAGGTTCGATCCTCAGCACCACATACAAACAAAGATGTTGTTTGTGTCCGCCGAAAACTAAAAAATAAATATTAAAAGATTCTCTCTCTCTCTCTTAAAAAAATAAATAAAGGTATTGTGTCCATCTACAACTAAAATATACATATATATTAAAAATATTTAAAAAAAAGATGATTTTGTCTTAATTGGTATACTAGTCCATGGTATGTTATTCAAAGCCCATGAGGAGAAAAAAAAAATCTTAGGACCAGATGTGTTTCTGAATTTAGAAGTTTTGGAGATTTTAGTAAACAAATGTGGAATATATACTGTATGTTATGTAACACCCCAGAGAGCTCTAGAGCAGCACCTTATACTCAAACACATTACTATTTTAGGAGTAAAATGTTTAAATGCCAAGTCTAACTGGGATAAATGTATACTATAAATAGGCTCATGTCATGTTTTGTCACCACATGAATAATAAAAAAGTTTTTTTTTCACACTTTTTGAATTTCGGAATCAAAGTGAAGGGATTGATTACTTCCATAGGTAAAGCTTATATGATGATGGAAACAATTAAAGGAAAAATATTGTATAACCATGTTAATTTCAAAGTCATGGGTCTTAAAAATAGTATTACATAGATTTTTTTTTGTTTCTGTCATGTAAAATTCTGACTTCAATTAAAATCTATCTGATGTGCATTTTCCCGTAACTATTAGCATTTATCCTTTTTTTTTTTTTTTGGTGGTGCTGGGGATTGAACCCAGGGCCTTGTGCACATGAGGCAAGACTCTACCAACTGAGCTATATCCCCAGCTCCTTTTTTTTTTTTTTTTTTAATGATGCTGGAGATCAAATCCAGGGCCTCACATAGGCCAAGCAAGTTCTTTACCACTGATCTAGCCTTAAAATATACCTTTAGTGCTCTCACTAAAGAGTTGAGATGCTAAAATGACACCCTGTACCTCTTTTTGTGTGGTGTTAGGGATGGAACTGAGAGTCTTGTGCATATTATCACTGAGCTACATCCCCAGCTATCTCTACCTCTTTTTTTTTTAAAGAGAGAGAGAGAAGAGAATTTTTTTAATATTTATTTTTTAGTTTTTGGCGGACACAACATCTTTGTTTGTATGTGGTGCTGAGGATTGAACCCGGGCCGCACGTGTGCCAGGTGAGCGCACTACCACTTGAGCCACATCCCCAGCCCTCTACCTCTTTATAAACAGTAATTTTAGGGTCTTTGCTCATACTTTTTTGTATAAAAATTAAAGAGAATTTTACCTTTTTCTGTATGATTCAGATAAAAATTAATCAGGTGAGGATCTGTAGATTTATGTTTACAGATTTTTTTTCTTTTTTGTGGTATTAGGGATGCACTTGCTAAGAAGGTGCTTTGCCACTAAGCTACATGCTACATCCTTGGCCCCTTTTCTTTCTTTTAGACAGGGTCTTGCTAAATTGCTCTCAAATTTGCAGTCCTCCTGCCTCAGCCTTTTGGGTAGCCGTAAATATAGTGTGTACCAGCAGAATTGGCTATGTTTGCAGAATTAAAAAAAAAAAAAAAGAATTGTTTTTTGGTAGTTGTAGATGGACAAAATGTCTTTATTTTATTTGTTTATTTTTATTTGGTGCTGAGGATCGAACTCAGTGCCTCACACGTGCTGGGCAAGCACTCTGACACTGAGCTACAGCCCAAGCCCCTGTTGCCAGAATTTTAAAGCTGATTTTTTTTTTTTTTCCTTTCAAGGGGGTCCTTTAGTTTGAGGTAATCACTACTGGATGGAATTTAGGTCAATTTTTTCTTTATTTTTAATTTATGAAGCTCCCATAATATGCACATCTTGCTAAGGAGTTTACTAATATATTTAATTTAGCAAAAAAAAAATTACCATTTTATTTCATTTAT